TCTTATACATATAAGTTCAAACAGTAATTTTAGCTCTTGCTAGGCCATGGAATGAATTCAGATCAAAACAGTAAGATCTTTCCTACTTACAGCTTATGTGCTTTAGTATTAATCACTAGCCTTAGATCTCTGATGCTGCTTCCATTGAGACTGTTTCTCTAAAAGCACCCAGTTAAGTCCAATCCAAGGACACAACAAACCCAGGAATGAAACTCTTAAGTTCACAGGGGATTTGAACATCAACAAACTAGTTTACAAATAGAAATTTAGTGGGCCTTCTAAAAGAATATCAAAGACTTCTTCAAAACATCTTCATAAAAGTATCTCCTTTTCTTAAAAACAGCTTACAATTTCCAATTACCATTGTTGATCTGAGTGTTGGTTAAAGAGACCACAAGCTGGTGATAAGTGACTTTAAACCCTGACTCAGGATGTCTGGGTTACTCAGTTTCATGGTCTCCATATGTTTAACCTGAGCATGAGAAAGGAAATTTAAATAAGATAGGCAAATGTCAGGTACAGGATATCTGTGTTTCCTTTACCACCATCAAGGTAGTGTCTGGGTTAAAGGTGCCTCAGTGGTCATAAACATAAGAATGCTTTTGATCAGCTTCTTAGCTTCAGCTCAGGGAAGAAAAGATCAGTTCAGGTTTTTGGCCCTTATTGGGGCTTAATTGATCTTAAATGATTATCACCATAAAATTCCTAGTTACCTGTTTCTTTAGTCCAAAGATGTCTGCAATAGGCCACTTTATCAGTAAGAGTTCCATCTCACAAAAACTCCTGCACAGGATTGATAAGAATTATGAAATTTTACAAAATCTTTCTTTGCATAATTACATAGTTTCTTTGCACACACAGAGAAATACTTCTACCAGTACTTCACTTAAACAATAACTCCAAATAGCTTAGTTAACAATTTTAAACTTCCTAAGTGAGAGCCAAATAATCCCAGCTAAAACTTTCCTTTAAACAGAGAAAACTTTTAAGATTTCTTTTCTCAAATTATAGTACTTAAGAGGAAATATTACAGAATGGGTCATATAGAATGCCCCAACAGCCTCACCCATTCCTTTTTCTCTTTTCTCTGAAGGCACAGTTCTTAATTTAACATTCTGGGTTATAAAATAAATTGCCCTTCCAACAATATAACTAATACAATTGCTTACTAGATTACATCACATAAGAAAATTCAGAAATATGTAAGCAGTATATTAAAAACTTAGAACAGACCCAATAAAAATCTTTCTTTCTGAACTCTTTCACCAGGTCCAGTCTCCTGGGGCCACTCCCACCCCTATCTATGCTGGGGGGGGCATGGATGGGAGGGGAAAAGGCCAGGGGCCATAGAGAGGTAAGACCCAAATTCTTTTGGAGTAAGGGGCAAAGGTCTCGGCAAACTATTTCAGCTATAACCCCTTCTTTAATTACAGGTAAAGGTGGAAATACCTGGTTTTCTAAATAGCAGTTATAAAAAAAATTACAAGACAGGGTTAGCAGGGCTGACTTGTTTTACACAATTTTTCCATTGTCCTTTAGTTTCTTTCAGTTCACTTTAATAACATCCAAATTATGAAAAGCTACTTGACATAACAATACAAGTTTACCAATTTGAAACAATACTAGAGGTTTAAAACTTGAGCTAGACACATTACCAAATCAGGTGGCTCCAATTCTGTTCACTGTATTTCCAACTTGCCTTACATAGAAAATCGGGCATCTCTCTTCACCATTTGCATTATATACTGGTCACATCTAATTAAGGAACTAATACTAATAGTTAACATTTTTAGTGTCTGCCCTCTGCTAGGCATTATGTTAGGCACCTTCCAATCACAACAAATTTGAGATCCATACATTTTCCCAATTTAGCTTAGTGCCAAACAGTGTAACATCACATTTCATTGAAAATATTACCAGAATGAATGAGTTGGGGCTTGTGGGGAAACATCATGGCCTCGGCAGCCTCGGAAGCTAGCAGCCCCCAACAAGCCACTGCCCTTGGCACAGCCCCTGGCTGCCCGTAAATTATCTTTTGTTTGTATTCTGGTACACAACAACTTTTCTCTTCTTTCTTTCTTTCCACATTCAAAATTTGGCCAGAATTAGAATGCAGAGAGAGAGAGAGAGAGAGAGAGAGAGAGAGAGAGAGAGAGAGAGAGAAAGAGGGAATTTTTTTTCCCAAAAAGTTTCCAAACCTTTTACTATCAAACACTGTTAATACTCATTCACACCACAGACACAAACAGGAACACAAAACAGACATACAACAAATTGCTGTAGAATCCTCAAATCCTCAAATCATATTTAATCATTTTCTTTTTATCTTTCTCTTTATATTTTGGTGATTCATCCCAATCTTTAAGTCTATTCCCAAGAGGGCTATCCAGAATATTAGGGAGGTTTTTCATGCTAGGTGCTTTAGACTGTTCCTTTCCCATGGTTCACAAGTTCTTGTCCCCTCAGGACTCACCTGATCTCACCAAACTCCTTGTAGGCAAGCAGGAGCCTTACGGACTCAAATCACTTAGACTTTCCTCTCTCCCCACCCAGGTCACCCAGGGGCTTACCAGATCTTGGCCTTGGCTCCCTTACAGACTCGAACCGCTTAGGTGCACAAAAGGACTCACGGGTCTTGCCTACCTGGGTCTGTGTGCACAAACTCACGTGACCATAAATCAGTTTTTTCTGTCAACTGTCTTTGCTAGCACTGTTGGAGCTCCATTTGCTTTCGTTTCTGCTTTCTCCAAGTTCCTCTCTTTGAGATCTTTTTTTTAACCAGCCAGGGTGAGTCCCTCTACCGAGATCCAAGGACTGCCAGAGAAATCTCCAGTGGGTACCTGCCCAAGGATCCTGATGGGGACAACCCCCCTAGGAAGGAAAAATATCTCACTGGGACCTCCCAAAGCTGTGTGGGACAGCTATCCTTATTTTCCAACTAAAACTCAGAGGCTTCTTGAGGTAGAAAGCAGAAAAGAATTTTTATTACGATCTCGCGAGAAAGGGCGACCCACACCAAAAATCCTTCCAGTGTCAGAGCAAGCCAAACATAGATACAGCAGGTTTTTATAGGTCCCTACCACAGTTCTCCTCCATAACCCCCTTCCCCTTATCCCATTGGCTGGGCTTTCAGGGGGTACAATCTATTCCTGGAGACACAAGTTTGCCCAGAGACAAGAAAAGGCAGGAAGCTTTTCAAGGGCAAGCAGTTTAGGTTGGGGGCAGGGCTATTCTTTCTGCTAAGTACTTAAAAATAGGGTCTGAGCAGGGGGAGGGTTTTGAAAGCAACAATCAAGAATAATTAACAGGAACCATTGACCCCTTGCAGAGGCTTCACTTCTGAGAGATCATCTCTCACAAGTTGAACCTTAGTCTATAAAAGATTTAGAAAACCTTAAATATGTTGTGCTGTTTTACTGAAATATGTCCTTTTACTTTACATGAATTTTAACTTTATAAAATAACAAGTTTAGCAGACATGTGAATTACTTCAAAAAAACTGTCATAAAACCCAGCAAGTTAAAGTAAAAATGGGCAGCTAGGTGGCACAATGGATAGAGTGCCAGCCCTGGAGTCAGGAAGACTTGAGTTCAAATTCAGCCTTGGACACTTAGTAGCTGTATGATCCTGGGCAAGTCACTTAACACTTTTTGCCTCAGTTTCCTCATTTACAATGAAGGAAATAGCAAACCACTCCAGTATTTTTGCCCAGAAACCCCCCAAAAGAGTCATGAATTGGACACCTGAAAAGAACAAAAAAGTAAAAATATTGGGGAATCATCATTCATTGATTTGTTTGGGACTGTTCCTTCTTTTGCCATTTTCTGCTGGAGAAGTGTCTTGTGCTGTCTGATGCATTTTCTCTCATTTTTCAAGAGTCTTGCGGTGGCCACCTCTTCCATAGACAACTGCCCTTCAAATTGGAAGGACTTTTGGGGACATTTGACTTTACCTCTGCCCTGAACTGTTGTTTCCTTTATTTCCTTTGGGTGATGGACTTGCTCGTCTGCACGTGCCCTGGGAGACAGTGGATGCAGACAGCCCCCTCCCAACCTACTGCACTAGCACCAAGGCTAAGGACGCTCTGGCAGTGCAGCTGTGGCCTCCCTGACTGATGATGACTTGAGTGAATTGCTGTCACTGTCACTCGGAGGCAATGTTTCAATAGCGCTGAGGAACTGCGTTGCAGTTACTTCTTTCCTCACCTCCTTTCTCCTGTGACCATCGATAGAGGCCGCCAAGATGGTGCCCTGACATCAGAAGGGCAGCTGGTGCTCATGGAAATTGACCGAACGGGCTGGTTTGTGGATGGGGGCGGGGTCTCTCCTTTCTACCACGTCTCACTCCGCTCTAAGGCCCCCTCCTTCCACCCACGGCCGCCCCCGCCCCTCCAGCTGCCATGCCCAGCCCTCCTGTGCGGGGGGGGGGGGCATCCCAGCTGGCCCCAGCCTGGCCTCCCCGGCTCTACAAATCCAGCCCCACGGCTGCTCGTTCCTCCGGGGGACCTTGGCCCAGGACTGCAGGGGGCTCGTCAGGCCGGGGGTCACTCTTGCCCAGGCCTGTACCCACGCTCTGCACACTCTCCGCTGGTGCCTCCAGCCCGGGCCTCGCTGGGATGTCGCGGGCTCATCTGCGGGCGAAGCTGCCCGGGCCTTCGGACAAAGTTCAAGAAATGCCTCCAGAAGCAAGGATCAACGTGAAGGGATAGGGACCCAGGGGCAGAAAAGAAACAGCCCTGCGCCCCTCCCCCGCACTAACGGGAGCTTGCATTCCCCACGGGGGACAGTGAGTATAGGGCCACGCACCAGGGGCCTCTGTGAACGTCCATGCAGCTCTGCCCGAAGCGCCTGAAGGACGGGGAGTAAGCTGGCCTGAGCCTTGTGCGCAGGCGCACAAGCCTTGTACCGGTAAGGAAAGGGGACCGTAGAGCAATCTGGGAGATGTAGTCCTGGACGGAGCTTGAGCGGCGCGGCCGGGGCGGGTGGTGCCGGCACCTGGACTCCCATTTCCCAGAATGCTTCGGGAGCCTCCTGCGAGTCTGGGGCGCTTCGCCCCCGAGTCATTCAAAGAAGACAGGCGCACAGCGCTGTGCGATGGGAGTCATCTCGTGAGGCCCGTCTTCCAACGCTCGCGCCTGCCTCCTGCGGGTCTTCAGCTTGCAGCCCACAGCGTTGCGTGGGAGCGTTTGCAGACGTCCACCAGAGCCCAGTTCCTCGCTCCCCTATCCCTCCTTGCAGGGTGCGTCTCCACGCCCCTGAGCCCTCAGGGTGAGTGAGTGCGCAGGCGCAGTGTTTGGGACCGGCCGCCCACCCCGCCCTTTTACGGGACTATTCTCAGGCGAGGGAGTGCGCAGGCGCGGTCGGGGGGGGGGAGTGGAGTGGAGCTTAAGTGTCTGAATGGGGCAAAAGCTCCTGTAAGTTTGTCCCTAGGGGGCTTTCATTCATCAAGCCTTTATTAAGCCTCTGCTGTATACCTCGCCCTGGGCTAAACTCGGCGGGGGGGGCCGGGGGGTGGAATCAAGAAAGGCAAATGGCAGTACCTGCCTTCTGGGAGCTTCCAGTCTAATGGGGGAACCACCTGCAAATCTCCATTACAGATTTTGTCTAGGAGCAGTCAGGAAGGGCTTCCTGTAGGAGGCGGATTTGACCTTTCTTGGCACGGAGCACAGCCCACCAGGGTCAGGGGCCAGCGGCTGGCATCTCTGGCTTGCAAGAATATGGGCTCCAGAAGAAGACTGGAAAAGGAGTGGGGCTTAAAATGCCAAATAGATTTTATATTTGATCTTGGAGGCAGTAGGGAGCCAATGGAGGTTATTGAGTGTGTGAGTGACCTAGTCAGACCAGCGATTTAGGAAGACCTCTTTGGCGGCAGAATGGAGGATGAGCTGGATAAAGGAGAGCCTCGAGCCAGGCAGATCCCACAGCTGCTGTTGCGATAATCCAGGGCTGTGCTGGTAGATTTTTTTTTTCCAGTTACGGATTCTTTCCCTTGCCGCATCCATTGAGGTTCTAAGAAATATGATGTCCATCATACATATGAAATCATGCCGAACTTATTTCCTCGTTAGTCATCTTTAGAAGAGGAAATAAAAGAAAAAATATGCTTACATCTGCCCTCTGAGTCCATGCGTTTTCTGGAGTGCGATGGCAGTTTTCATCTCGAGTCCTGTGGAATTGTCTTGGATCGTCGTATGGCTAGGAGTAGCTGAGTCTTTCTCAGTTATTTATCTTCGCAGTATCCCAAGTCTTTCTGGAACTGTCCCCTTCATCATTTCTTACAGCACAGTAGTTTTCCATCATGTTCATATTTGCTGGAGATGTTAACAGCTGCCTATGGGACATGATGTTGACTTTGTGTCATTAACATTTTCTTCATCACTTCCTTAAATCTAGGTCTAGGCAGTCAGTAAAGCCATAAATCAAGCCCTGATTTGTAGCCTTTGCTGATTTCTGAGGTGAAAATGCTCACGCTGAAAATATAGCAGTGGGACTTCCTATCTGGCTCTAGCAACCCCCTGTGAGGGTCAGTGTCAGAGCAGGAAAGGGCAAGGTTTTTGACAGGCCTGGGATATGTCTTGGGAAAGGAATGAAGAGTCCAGGATGATACCTAGGTTTTCAGCCTGAGTGACTAGAGGATGGTGTTGTCCTCTACAGCAATAGGGAAGAGAGGAGAGTTTGGAGGGAAAGAGAACGAGTCCAGATTTGTATATGTTGAGGTTCGGATGTCTCCTGGGCATACAAGTCTGATGTCCAGTGGGCTCTTGCAGATGTGTGACTTGGAGGTCCAGAGAGAGGTTGAGGCTATCGAATAGATCTGAACAATTCATGTGGAAATGGGGGAGGGGGGAAGAGAGGCCCCAGGACAGAGCCTTACGAGATATCCACAGTCAGCAGCTGGGACCTGAGTGAAGATCCAGGAAAGGAGACAGAGGAGTGGTCAGAGAGGTAGGGACAGAACGAGGAGAGAGGATCGAGGAGAAGAGGAGATGGATAGGGTCAGAGGCTGCAGAAAGGTCAAGAAGGAAGAGGACTGAGAAAAGGCCACCAGACCTTGCCATTAAGAGATCACAGTAACTCGGAGAGAGGAGTTTCTGTGGAATGATGAGGTCGGAGAGTTGAGGGGAAAAAAGTACCTATTGTAGGTGGCCTTCTCAGAGTTTAGGCAGGAGAGATAGGGGTGACAGCAGCAACTGATGGATCAAGTAAGGGTCTTTGAAGATGGGGGAGACAAGAGCATGTTTGTAGGCAGCAGAGAAGCAGCCAGCAGATGGGGAAGGGTTGAAGACAAGTGAGAATGGGAATGACAGAGGGGGCAATCTGCTGGAAAAGAAGGGATGAAAAGCAATCTGGTTGCTTGGGCATGTAGAGGGGTTGGCCTTGACAAGGAGAAAGAGGTGAGACAGCGCTGAAGGAGCAGATGGTGTTAGGAGGCATCTGGGTGATGTGAGGTGGCAAGGAGAGGAGAGCAGGGAGTTCACAGCAAAGGGCCTCGGTTTTATGAGTAAAATATAAATCAAGGTTCTCAGATAGGAGGGTTGGGGGAGGGGAGGCCATGGAAAGGCTGAGGAGAGATGAGAAGGTTTGGAAGATCCTATGGAGATTGGGATAATAATGAGTCAATTAGGAAGGTGTAAAGGGTTGCTTAGCTGCCAGGAGGGTGTGTTGATCTGTAAAATCCTAACACTTGGGAGACTCTTCCCACTTTGCTGTTGGCCCCCAAATGCTCTGTCTTCTTGGTGTTTGCTTTCTTGAAGAGTTTGTGAAGTTCATGTCCAGGATGAGTCCTTGGTTCTTGAGATTGGATTCCCAGCTCCTCCTTCTGCCTCCATCATTTCTCTAGCATTAGTACCTCCCGATGGTCCTCAAGGGACTAGCCTCAGAGGTACAGTGTTCAGCCAGAGGTGGGGATCTGAACCCCAGGGTGAAGGTTCCAATTAAAGGGATTTTGCCTTTAGGCCCCCAGGCTCCAGCTTTACTGGGAGGTGGTAGAGGGACATTCCAAGAAAAAGACCACAATGCAGGAGAAGACACCGGCCCTGAGTCCTTCCCCCAAAGCTTGAGGGCAGCCCCAGCACCTGGCATTGCTGGTGCAACGATTCCAACCTGGCTGGGCAGAGACGACTGCAGTGAAGTCAGCGCAGAGAAAAAAACAGCAAGGAAGGAGCTGACCATGGAGGGCTTGTCTCTCATGTTTGAGGACAGAGGTGAGAATGATGGCGGTGTTGGTGGGAGGCTGGAATCCTGCCCTGTACGGGAGACAGAGAGACAGATACCTCAGAGCGATTTCTGAGCAATTGTTGTAGGAGGGAAGGAATAAATACAGTACCCAACCCCAGCCTTTATGTCTCTTCCTCTCCTCTGAACCACCCAGTAGATGCCATTAGCTGGCTCTATCACCAGAACTTCTGGCCCATTGAACTGGTTCTGTTCTATCAATCATTAAGCTCCTCCCCTTTGCCAGTGTGGAGTGAAAGGACAGGAAGGAGGATTGAGGTCACTGAGGAGGGTAGAATGAACTTTCAGTGGTGTGGTTGGCAGCTTGGAAAGCTGTGGGAGGCGGGGTCACATTGAGTGTGGGGCTTAGGGGGGAGGCCCTCTAGAGTGACCCTGAGGAGTCACAGGCAGGGTCATCTGCCTCCCCCAGGACTGCTTTCTCCTCCGTCAGCTGGTCTTCCTCAAGACAACAGTATAGAGGAGAAGGAGGAGGAGGAGGGAAAGACTTCTGGATTCTGCTCTGCCCAGGTTCAGGTGAGTTCAGGTTTGCTGTCTCCCCATCATTTCATACCATAGCATTCCTTAGTGTATGAATAGGTTCTTTTCCCTTCTTTTCATTAGTTCAAATTGATCCCCTTCCATCTATATCCTGACTATCATTCTCCAGGGAGGGCTCTGGCTGTTCTCAGTGACAGTATAAAGTTTGTAGTTGCTTAGAGTTGGAATGTCTTCATAATATCAATAGGCAGATTTTCAGATGAATGCAGAGTTGGATAAGGAGATTTTTTTTTGTGGTTGTTATAACAAGTTAATTAATGGTGAAAGTTCAGCATGTGACTATGGCTTGAGAAGTTGGACTCGATGATCTTAAATTTCCCTTCCAACTGGTTTTAGAAAAATTTTTATCTGCATTTTTTGTTTTTACATAGTTTAGATTTCCTCTGTATCCTTTCCTTCTGCCCACCCCCACAGAGCCATGTTGTATAACAAAGAATTTTTTTAAAAGAATAAACAAAGATAAAGAGGAGAAAAAAAATGATCAAAGACAATGAATACTTTGAAAACTTCTGACATTCTTTGCAACATTCCACGTTCCTTTTGAGTTTGCCACCTTCATTTTCCACGGTTGTTTTGTAGTTTTCATTCTTTTCCATGTGCGTAGTTGTTGTCATTTCCTGGCTCTCCCTACCTCACTCTGCATCAGTTCATGGAAGTCTTTCTGTGCTTCTTTGGACTCCTGGTTGTCTTTTCATATTGTGCTGTGATGTTTCATGACATTCAAGTATTTCAGTTATCCTGTCGTTCTCCACTAGATGGGCATCTACTTTATCTCCAGTCCTTTGCTAAAACAAAAGGTGCTCCTAGGAATATTTTGAGGTCTCTGCGGCCTTTCTTTTTGTCATTCATCTCCTTGGGGACTATCCCTAGCAATAGATCTTTGGAACAAAGGGCACGGACATTTAACCACCGTCCTTGCATGATCTCAAGTTACTTTCCAGAATGGTTGCGCTCATTCACAGGAGCGCCGAGGATGCATTCTCCAGACTGAATTTCCAGTCACCTCCAACACAGACCATCCATTCCTGTCTTTTGTCGTCTTTGCTGGTTTTCTGGATGTGATGCCTTGGCTGTTTTGATTTGCACTTTTCTTATTATTAGTCATTTGGAGCATTCTTTTATGTGGTCGTTGATTGTATTAAAATTTTATCTTGTTCTGACTCCCTTTTCCATCTCCCTGTTTCTGCTAGTTGTCTGCGTATCTTGGACACCAAACTTTTATCTGAGAATTCATTATCCTGGATGCATTAATTTTTTGGTGCAAAAGCTTTTCAACCTCATAGCACTTTTATCTTTTTTAACTGCTTCTGTCCTTTATCTGGTTAAGAATTCACATCCTGCCCATAGCTCTAAGAAGTATATGGTCTGTTTCCCTTTTTCTTTTTCAATACTTGGGTTGCATATCCATTTTGATTTTATTGTCCAATATCTTTAAGATGTTGGTCTAAGCCTAATTTCTCCCAGATTACTTTCCAGTTTTCCCAGCAGTTGTCAAATAGAGAATTCTGTCCTAAGTAATTTATTTTTCAGTTTGTCATACACTAGGTTATTGAGTTCCATTAATTCTTTAATGGAATTTTTAAAAAATCAGTACAAATGCTCTTGCTGGTTGTTGCTTTAGAATGTAGTTTCAGTTCTAGGAAGGTTGTTCTCCTTCATTCCTATCTTATTTCTGCATTGTTTCCTTTGAGAGTCCATATTTTTTTATTTCTCCCAATGAGTTTTTGTTATTTTATCAGGTTCTATAGAGTATCCCTTTGACAGTTTGATTGCTATGTCAATAAAGTAGAAATTATTGACTTAGGTAGTATTGTCATTTTTATTGTACAGTCGCAGGCCAGACATAAACACTGCATATGACTTTTTTTCTTTTGTAAATAGCATTTTATCTTTTCCAATTATGTGTAAAGATAGTTTTCAACATTCATTTTTTATAAGATTTTGAGTTCTAAATTTGTTCTTCTCCAGTCTCCAAGACAGCAAGCAATCTGATATAGGTTATACATGTAATGCTGCATATTTCTACAGCTATTTAAAATCCTTCTTTCCTTCCTTTTTAGGGACTGGGTCTTCCCACCTCCCCCAGGGCAGGGGCCCTGCTCACACAGGGATTACAGGCTTGCACTGCCATGGCCCCCATTCTTTATTTTTAGGGATACTTTGGCATCGGTTCACTGTGTTTTGATAGTTTGAAATCCAGATATTTTATGCATTTTGAAGTTGTTTTGAATGGGATTTCCCTTTCTGCTGTCCCTTCACTAGATCTGATGTCATCATATGGAAATGCTGTTGGTTTTTATGGGTTAGTTTTGTAGCCTGCAGCATTGCCAAAGCTATTAACTGGCTCAGTTAGTTTCTTCGGCCGATTCCCTAGGACTTCCTAGGTGAATCATCGTGTTGTCAGCATTTGAGGACAGTTTTGTCCCCTCTTTGCCGTGGTGCCTTTCATTTCTTTCCCTCGTCTTATTAATATGCTGGCATTTGGGTAACTCTCAATTAATAGTGGGAAGAGGGAGCATGCACTGAAGGAGCCGGGGATGTTGAGGTTAGAGAAGAGAAATTTAGGGTGGAATGAGAACTGTGCTAGAGTCTTTGAAGGCTGTCCTGAGGACAGCATGGCCCCCGAGGGCAGAATTAGGAGCCATCTGTAGAAACCACAGAGAAGCTAGTATGGAGGAAGTGAGGCAGAAGCTACCCAGGGTGGTCAGAGGGACCATCTCGGAGGGAATGATCTGACTTTTCCACAAATGCTCGTTCTCAGCTGTGCTTTGGGGATTCAGGGGCAAAGTGCATGATTTTCTCATGGGTCATTTATGGGAAGGAAGTTTTCAGGATAAACTTGAGCAATGAAGGAAAACTGCTGGGATCACCGAGTCTGGGACAGAGTGAGGCACACGGGAACCAGGGTACCAGGAGACATTTGGAGGAGTGGTCCCTGCTTACACAGGAATGTGTTTGATTTAGGAGTTGGTGACATTCAGGGATGTGGCTGTGGACTTTACCCAGGAGGAGTGGAGACGCCTGGATCCTGCCCAGAGGGCCCTGTACAGGTTCGTGATGTTGGAGAACTATGAGAACCTCATTTCCCTTGGTAAGCACCCCATTGGTCCCCAGGGACTCAGGGTCAGGCCCCTGGGGAGTCTTTGCAGGCTCCCTTGCTGCAGATACTTAGCTGTGTTTTGGCCTATTGTGCAAGGATATTCAACACTATGTATCACATGAGGATAGACTCAGACCCTTTATGGCCAAGAGAATTTCTGTTCTTTGTTCCCAAGTGGAAGGTCTTTGCTTTGTACCAATGGAGATGCCAAGACTTTCCTATGCCAGCCCTGAATCTGGAGCCTCCCTAATCCCTGAGTCCTTCAGTCTAAGGTCCTTCTTAGCATCCCAGGGACATTAGGAGACCGCTTTCTCCAGGAAGTCTTCCCTCCTTTTCTCCCTGGAATCATTGGGGCACCAGGGAGTTCTGTGCTGCGTGGATTTTGTTCTTTTTAGACCTGATATCCCGTGAGTCAAGCAGATGCCATGTCTTAGGGTAACTGTGTATCTCCTCACATCCTCTATACAGTTCTCACAGGAAATACCTAATGCTAGATGAATCCTAAAAATACACCCATAGCTCAGGGAGGATCACAGATCACAGCTGTGAACACACTGTTGCCCTAGCCTGAAAGCGCCTGCTGCTCTGAGGCCCAGCCAACGTGGCGCACTGCTGTTCTTCTCACAGGATATTAACACTACCGCCTCCTCTCACTGTATTACTCAATCGCTAGTGACTGCCTGCCCAGGATCTCCTGGTATTCTCTCTATATTTTATTCCTACTGAGATGTGCACGTGCCAATTTCCCTTGATAAAGTGTGTGCTCCTTTTAGGCAATAATTATTTCATTTTTGTCTTTTTGTCCCCAATGCCTAGCACTGTTCTTGGCCCATATTAGAATCTTAAGAGACCTGTATCTCGGGTGAAGTCCATGAAAGGGTCTTAACTTTTCAGAGTGGGTAAAATGAGATGCTCCTTTCCCAGCCACATGTTCAAATCCTCAAAAGATTGGTGATCTCCTCAGTTTCAAAATACCTTCTAATGATGCAGATTAAAATTCTTATACTCCTGACTATCTGCTGTGAATATCATCTGTGTCTTCCCATTGGCCAGGCCTGGGCATCTTTGGGCCAGGCCGGAGGCTTTCACTGCTTTCTCCTTGCATCCTCGGGGAGTGAGAGGAGCCATTCTGTGCACACCCCCGTGACTAGTCCATCTTCTCTCCGTGTCATACTTCCTTGGTGAAATGTCTTTTTTGGAGCTCCTCATGTTTAATATGATGCAGCCTGTGTGCCCTCACCATTGCCCACAGTGTCATATTCGTGCTTAATTATCTGGACACTGTTAAATTCCATTCTTTTCAGCACCACAAACAGAGTGTTGGGCCTTTGTTTCCATTGGAAGCCTCCGGTCATTGAAGATTTGTAATTTCCATGTAAGCTCACCAGAGGTGTTCCCCATAGCGGTGGAAGAGGGATTCTCTGTGGACAGCATTTGTTAAGTGCCTACTACATTCAAAGTGCTGCAGATACAAATACAAGAGAATGTGGTGGTCTGTGCTCTCAAAGAGCTTAGCACATGAAGGAGAGCTGGAAACCAGGGAGCGGAAAGTGGGAAGGAGAGGGAAGGAGAGTAGTGGTTCACAGGGGGAAGGCTTCTGATGAGGAGAGGGTGCCATGTGAGAAGAGAATTGAGCTGGGAGAGGTCCTCTAGGCCAGAGATGTCAAACGCGTGGTCTCCAACACTACAAAGTATGGCATGAACCAGATTTAAATGCAGTTCCTATCTGATTGTTATGTGTCAATATATTAATAAAAAGAGAAAGTATAACCATGTTGCTTTCCAAGTCTATGTAATCCTCAGAGATCCTCGTGTGTGCTTTGGTGGCCCCTCTTTCTGAGGTTGACGCCACTGGTCTAGAGTAGTGTTTTTAAATGCATAAAGTAAAACACTCAGCATCACAAAGGAAACCAAGTCTACTGATGTGCAGTTATCACAATGTTAAAAACAACAGCACAACAACAAAAAAACCCAACCAGGTTAAAAATCCCTGACGGAGAACCTGCCCACTGTTCTCTGTGTATGGAAGTGACCGAACAAATGGAGATCCTCGGCCCGGAACGGTGACCTGTGCTCCCTGGAATACGACCTAGAATATGCTCCAAAGGTGGTTTCTTAGCTTTACCATAAATAGAACTTACTTCTTGGCATGTTTTCTGTTCCTAGCACTTTATCACTTCTGTGCCTCTCCGTAGGGCTTCCTGTTTCTAAAGTGGATGTGATCTCCCTGTTGGAGAGAGGGGAAGCCCCGTGGTGGCCCAAGGGAGGAGGCCTTTGTCATGGTGAGTGAGTGAAACCTTTTCCGTCTCCGGAGTCAGAATTGTCAGTGTTGTCTCCTGTGATCTTCTCCGGCTGTCCCTTGTTTGGTCAAGACCTCTTTCCCTGTCCGTGCTGCGTGTCTTGTCCCCCGTCAGCCAGCGTGTTCGTTTCATGGCCTTTTTTCTCTGCGCTGCGCATCCCTCAGGAATGCGGGGCTGCCCGCAGTGCGACATGTCGGTCTACACCCGATTTCTGGTTTTCCAGCAGTTCCTTGAATACTGCTTATGTACCACCTGAACTTGCTGACCGTGGGTTCCTGCTATGTTCAGTTCCCTTTGCATCTTCTGTTCCTGAGCTGTTCCACTGATGAACTTCCCTGCTTGTTTAGTTATCTTCACCAGCATCAGTCTGTTGAGGAGTGCAGCTTTGAGTGTAGCTTGAGATCTGGCACTGCCAGAGCCCACACCTTGCTGTGTCTTTTCATTGTTTCTCCCTTGTCTCTCCAGTCTCCCCTTGTCTCCCGCCTTATCTGTTCATTCCATTCACATGGCCACCACCCAAGCCTAGACTCGCGAGAGCTTCCTGATTGGTCTCTCGGACTCAAGTATCCATTTTGTGTGGCGTAGAGTCCTCAGTTTTACAGGGTAAGCCATTCTTTGATATAAGTCTTAATCTTTTTGCCTTTTGGAATAGCGTGTACCAAGATCATCTCTCTTTTGTACTAGTTGTAGCGTAGTCCAGCGTGGTCCTGACTGTGGTTCTTTGGTATCTGAACTCTTTCTGGATGCTTGGGATTTTTGTGTTTGTTTTTTGATATGGATATTACGGATTTTGGCTGACGTACTTTTTTTTTTTTGAGGAATTCTCTGTTGTCCTGATTTGTTGTGGTGGTGGTTTTTTCCTTCCAGGAGATGACTGGCAGGTGCTTTCTCTTTAACTTTGTCCACTGGTTCTAATGTATCTGGATAGTCTACTTTTGTGATTCAGTGAAATATGGTGCCACGGTTTTACAGAATCAAGTCTTAAATTTTCCCCCTTCAATCTGTTTTCTAGGTTCCTTGTGTTTAATAGTAGTTGCCTTACATTTATTTCTGTTTTTTCAGTCTTTTGACTTTGTTCTTACTTTTCATGTTATCTTATAGAGTTATTGAGTTTTTAATGTTCTTTTCCATTCACCAACAGCTCCTTCAGTAGGGTTTTTGACCTTCTAAATGTTTTATTCTCTGTCCGATTTTTTTCTTTCGTGATTTACCTCTTATTTAATTTCTTCCAGGTTCTCTTCTAGTCCTTTTGGCCAGGTCATTCTTTTCTTTAAAGCTGTATTTGAACTTGTAGAGTTATTCTCTTCTAGAATTTCAGTGCTTCTTCAACTGTGGGGTTGCAACCCACAGTTTAAGAAACGCCAAAGGGGTCGCGAGTGGAGAAAGTTTAAGAATCCCTGTTCTGGGTAATCCAAGGTATTTCTTTATTATTTTAGGTACTTTCTTCTTTTGACTTATACCTCTAGCCTCAGTGACTGGATTGAGAATTTGTGCTGAGTGGCTGAGCTCTGCCCACCCTGTGGCCCTCTGGAATCTGGAGACTACTACTCCCTCTGCCCATTTTCTTTGTTTGCACTGTCATTAATATTCTGGTGTTTGTGCATCCTTTCCCCCTGTCTGTGGCTTGCTTGTAGTGTGGGCCTCGCAGTGATTCTGGGTCGAGAGGTATGGGCACCTTCATTGCTTTCTGAGCATAATTCCACATTGTGTTTGGTTCAGTCCACAGTTACACCAAGGGCACGCCAGGGTCCCTGCATTAATTCAGAAAGAGACTAACATGTTGAGCCAGGAGTCTCACTGATAGACATATAGTCCAGGGAGGGCAAAGACAGAATGGGTTTATATATATTCCTACATTTCTACCCCTCCCCCCCATTATTTCCTATAAGAATTTCAATATTTATTTCTCCAAATGAATTCTTATTTTGTCTGGCTCCATAAGGAATGCTCTTGGTTTTCTTGGCATAACACTAAATATATAAATTAACATAATTGATTGCCAGTTTTTATTATTTGGGCCCATCTCAACCTTGAACAACGCACATACCTTGGGAGATTGACTACCAAATATTTTATTCCTTTTGTATTTATTTTGATAGGGACTTCCTCTTCTATTTTTTCTTCCTGTATTTTATATTTGATGTTGTTGGTTTTGTGGCTTTATTTTATATCCTGTAAATTAAAATTTTTCTAATTGGCTTGATGAGTTTCATTGCTGATTTTCTGGGATTTTTTTTTAAAGAAACCATCATTTAATCAGTAAGTAGGAGTATTTATAATTTCTTTGTCAGTGTTTATATTTTTAATTTCTTTATCTTGTCTTAACTGTAGCTTTTGTAGAACCATGCCAAATAGCATTGTAGAGAATCATACCCATGCTTTAGTCCTGATGAATTACTAACGAATATTGATGCAAAATGTTGGAGTAAATCCTAGCAAAAATGCTACAGCAACATAGGCAAAAAATTAGTCACTATAACCAAGTTGGATTTATACCAGGAATATAAGAATGGCTCAAAATTAGAAACAATGTAATTAATCGTATTAAAAACAACAGTGCCTCTAATTCCATGATTATATCAATAGATGCAGAAAAAGTCTATGACCATATATAGCATTCATGTATGCCACAATACTTTATAAAGTCTGGGCTTTGATGGTGCATTTTTAATATGAGGGAAATTATATAAATAAAATGAAAAGTTAGCATTTTTTATAATTGTCTTTGACTTCAGTTTCCTTTAGATAATACTTGTTCTACGTGGCTCAAATTAACGTCTTGCTCTTAACTAGAAGTTTAAGATATAATGAAGGTTCTTTTCAATCCAGCCAAAAGTAATGAATGACCTTTTTTTCTTTTTTTCATTTCTTTCAGATTCTCATAGTTGGCAGACCACGTTTGAAACCAAGGACTCAAATGTAATTCAGGGCATTTGCATGGGACCATCAGCAAAGAAAAGTCTGCCAAATGACAGTTCCTGGCATCCCAAAATGAGACAACTGGGGGGATATGACACAGAAAACCAGATGGGCAACCAGAATGGAAATTCCCAACAAGTGATAGTCATTCCCAGAACAACTTCTGTTGGGAGAAGTTTTAGTCTGGAGTCACTCTTTCTTGCACTATGGAGAGGCAGTATGGAAAAAAGTCTTTCTAAATATAAGACACTTGGACAGAACTTCAGGGATTTTTCAGACCTAATTACATGTGATGCTTTTTCCTTGGGAAAGAATCTTTCTAAGTACAACACATACAGGAAGCCCTTTAGTTACCCCTCAGACCTAATCGAATTTCATAGAAAACAAATTGGAGAAAAGCCACATGCATACAATGAATGTGAGAAAGCTGGTAGCAGAAGGTCAAGTATTAATGAACTTCAGAGAATTCGTATTGGAGAGAAACATTACGGATGTAATCAATATGGGAAAGCCTTCAACCACCGGGGGAGACTGACCAAATTTAAAAGGATTCATACTAGAGACAAACTCTTTGAATGTAACGAATGTGGAAGAAACTTCAGCCAAAAGGCATACCTTATTTTTCATCAGAAAACTCATAGTGGCATGAAACCCTTTGAATGTAATGAATGTTGGAAAACTTTCAATAAGAGGGGACATCTTATTCGACATCAGAGAACTCATACTGGAGTCAAACCTTTTGAATGTCATGTATGTGGGAAAGGCTTCAGCCAAAGGGGAAACCTTATTAGCCACCAGAGAACTCATACTGGAGAGAAACCCTTTGCCTGCAGTGAATGTGGAAGAGCCTTTAGTCGGAGGACACATCTCATTTATCATCAGAGAAATCACACTGGAGTGAAACCCTTTGAATGTAATGAATGTGGGAAAGGCTTCATCCAGATGGGGAGTCTTAATAGACATCAGAGAACTCATACTGGAGAGAAACCCTTTGAATGTAATGAATGTGGGAAAGCCTTCCGAGAGAAGGGATGCCTTAAGAGACATCAGAGGATTCATAGTGGAGTGAAACCCTTTGAATGTAATGAATGTGGCAAAACCTTCAGTAAACTAGAAACCCTTATTAGCCATCAGAGAACTCATACTGGAATAAAACCCTTTGAATGTAATGAATGTGGGAAAGCCTTCCAAGAAAGGGGATGCCTTAATAGACATCAGCGAACTCATACTGGAGTGAAACCATTTGAATGTAATGACTGTGGAAAAGCTTTCCAGGAGAGAGGATGCCTTAATAGACATCAAAGAACTCATACTGGACTAAAACCCTTCACATGTGATGAATGTGGAAAAGCTTTCCGAGAGCGGGGATGCCTTAATAGACATCAGAGAACTCATACTGGAGTGAAATCATTTACATGTAATGAATGTGGGAAAGCATTCAGTGAGAAGGGAAAGCTGATTAGACATCAGAGAACTCACACTGGAGAAAAAACATTTGGATGTAATGAATGTGGGAAAAACTTCAGCCGGAGAGCAAATCTTATTAGACATCAAAGAACTCATACTGGAGAGAAGCCCCTTGCATGCAAGGCATATGAAAAAGCCATTAGTGAGAGTGCACGCTTCATTTATCATCAAAGAATTCATACTGGAGAGAAATCCTTTGACTGTGATGAATTTGGGAATGTCTTTAGCCAGCATGCATAACTTATTATCTATCAGAAAACTCATCTTTAAGTGAAACTTTTTGAAGGGAGGGAGGGCTTTAGCAAGAAGGGATACCTTATTTAACAACACAAAATTCATACTGGAATGAACCTTTTTTAACATCTTCATTTAGAACAGTAGGCGAAAGTAAATGCCCCTTAAGAGGAAGCTGGTAGCTAAGTGGATAGAGCACTGGACCTGAGTTTAAATCCAGCACACTTCCTGTGTGACCCTGGGCAAGTTACTTAACCCGACTGCCTGACAAAATGGATCCACTGGAGAAGGAAATGACAAGCTACTCCGGTGTCTTTGCCAAGAAAACCCCAGATGGGGTCATGAACGGTTGGACCTGACTGAAGTGCCCGAACAACAACAAATGCCCATTGACTGGGGAATGGCTAAACATTGTGTTGCAGGAAGGCAGTGATATAATACTGCACCTGTAGAAATGAATATCAGTGTGTAACATTGCATTATCTTGAGTAAATTTAATAAAGGTAGACTGAGGGACAGACTCTTAAACAAGATCAGTTTATTAACAGTAATATGTGTAACTGTTAACAAAGCAAGTCACAGTGGCAACCTCAGCAAAGCCAGTGACCCCAGAGAAGGAGGAGACCCTCTTTATTAACATATAACAAAGAAGGGGTCTTGGTAGGCTTGGAGACAAAGTGATAGGTTGTAGGGTTGGGACAGGAATATTATGATTGGTTATACTAAGAAAGATGGGCTGGCATTCAGGTAAGGCTAATCATTTCCCTCTAACAGTTAAGGAATATTAATTGTTTATGGAACCCATCTGTATCTTGTAGTCTTTGCTAAGAGATCAAAACTAACAGACTTGCTGTCTAATTCCTTTAACTACATAGAAACAGGAAAGGACGGATAACATATCTTTTGGGACAGTAATTTTATAGGGTTAAACAAACATATCCATGAAATATCCTAGGAGATAGGGCAAGAGAGATACTAATATTTCTTTTAAACTAACTTTAAGCTAGCTTAGCTGGATTCCTAAGCTCAAGTCAAGCCAGGTGGGTACAGACCCAATTATAAAATTAATTCAGCATAAAATCAGTTACATTGTGGAATCAATAGAGAAGAAATTAGAGGTAATATTAATTTTTATATTTTCAGCATATACTATCAGAGTTGTTTTGATTAATTTTGCTTAACTATTTATCCCTCTTCATTCTTTGTTAAATTGAATATTTCTCTGGAAAGGAAAGGTAAGGAATAGGTTCAGAAAAAAGAAAGGTGACATAAAAGCAATATGTTAATAGTAACCTATACTAATATTATTTGCTTCCTTCTCTGCCCCTCCCCAGGTTACTAAACTGATAGATCACAGGAGTGCTGTAGATAAGGTTTACTTCAGCTTTAACAAATCATTTGACCAAGTCAAAAGCTATTCTTGTGGGCTAGAAAATAGTAAAATTAAAATGTTCCAAAACAGATTGAATGGTCAGCTCCAAAGAGTAGTCAATGAGCATGTCAAATTAGAAAGCATATAGTGGTGTGCTTCATGAAACTGTGCTGTTATTGATGGTGGACACAGACATAGAGAGTATAATTATCAAATTTGCAGATGACAGTTTGGAGCGATAAGTAACATACTCAGTCAGCATCTAAGATCTAGATCCCAGTGTCTAAACTATTGGAATCAGGAAGACGTGAGTTCAAATCCATCCTCAGACATTTACTAGCTGTGTGACTCTGGGCAAGTCACTTAACCCTGTTTGCCTCAGTTTCCTCATCTGTAAAATAAACTGGAGAAGGAAAAAGCAAACCACTCCAGGGTCTTGGCCAAGAAAACCCCAAATGGGGTCGTGGAGAGTCAGACACAACTGAACAATAAAATGGTCTTTGAATTTGGGCATCGTCCAACAGTAATTTTTTATATTGAAAGTTCAATCTGAGTCATTTGTGTGATATGACAACCAAGAAATACAGTGCCATCTTTGGCTACATAAAGGGAAGTAGAGTTTCCAGGAATGGGGAGATAGAGTTTCCAGGAATGGGGAGGTAAGAGCCTTGCCACCCTCTGTTCTGGTCAGACAGTGTCTGGACTATTGTACTTGGTTCTGGGCAGCATGTTTTAAGGACATTGTTAAGATGAATTTATTCCAAAGAAGGTAGAAGGTGGAGGGCTTTGGGTTCATGCCGTATGAGTGTCAGTTCTGTGGTATCATAATCATCATCTTCAAGCATCTGGAGGACTATTGAGTGGAAGAGGGACCACGCTTGTTCTGCTTGACTCTAAAAGGCAGAGCTAGAAGCAGGGAGTGGAAATTCCCAAAAGGCACCTTCTACTTGATGTAACAGAAAACTTCTCCCCAAATCGATTCAGACTTGGGGTGAGTTGTTTTAGGAGACAGTGAGATCCCTTGAATTGAAGATACTAATATTGAATAAATGGCAAAAGAATAAAATGAAGCAGTTGTCAAGGGATTCTTTTTCAAATGTGGGTTGGACTAGATCACCATTAAAGACCTTTCCAACTTGAAATTCAGTAATTTTGTCTGAATCTGTAATTCTGTGACCATTGCAAAGACTTCCAGTAGAGTGTGCAATGGTAATTATCAGAGAAATACTCATTGGAGATGTAGCAATAAGAAAGAGAGCTTATAATCATTCCTGTCCTGGCATGAGTGACTCCTCTTTTAAGTCAGTCACCATTTCAATGTAAAATGAGCAGTCATTTCCAAACTCCTTTGTTCCTCCTCTTCTTCATTTCCCCTGGTGTGCTAGCCATAGTGCATATTTGCTTTGTTCTGCTTCCTCAAAGTCACTGACATTAACAAATCCATGCCCCACTTTCAAGGATAGCTGTCGATCTAGATTAACTGCCTACTAACCTCTCTGGGGTGTCCCAAAAGTCTCAGTCCAATTTTGAGCTTTAATAAATTCAGAAATATAAATGCTACAGACTTCCCTCAAAATCTGAAGGTTTGATGATTTAAAGTTTTGAAACATTAATGTTTCTTACTAAATTCACTGTAACTGTCTTGTGCAATACATTGCTCTGGTTGCTTTCAGAACTTTATAAAAACTTTAATTAGCCTCTGCTCAGTGACTGAAAGGACTGCATTTGTGATCCTAGCCTTAAGATCACTCAAAAGTCTGAATGCAGATCAAAGCAGACTGTTTATCACTTTCTGTGTGGTTTTTTCCTTTAGGTTTGTGTCTTCTTTCACAACATGATTAATATGGTAATATGTTTTGCATGATTGAACATGTTTAACCTATATCTCATTGCTTATTGTCTCAGGGAGGGGGGAGGTAAGGGAGGGAGAGAAAATTTGGAACTCCAAAAATTTTTAAATGTTAAAAAAAAATTGCCATTACATGTAACTGGAGAAAATAAAATATTATTTCAAAAAGATCATCCAAAGAATGAGTTTTTAATGCATTTCTAACAGTTTTTACGTGATCTCACAAGAAAAAGTAATGGATAAAGATCAGGTGACCGAGCAAGAGAACCTCCTCTACCAGTCCACCAGCCTGAGACAGCGTCTTTCAAAAACTCACACAGGCAGTGAGCGATGACAGGGTGCCTCATCTTCAAATTAAAATGTATTCAGAATTCACAAAACCAAAGCGGAAAGAGATTAAATTTTCAAATGATATTTTTTATGTTTGTAGCCTTTTTATTTCTAAAGTTGTGAAAGGTTAAAATGACTTTTGGAACTCCCTACCTGTGTATGCTCGAAAATTGTTTAAAGTTCACTTGACAACAGGGCTGTCCTTCAACTTCCTTCTTCCTGTCATGGTCAATAATGAAGTTTCTCTACCTAGCCTTCAACAAAATTTATATGCTTTGTTTCTTTCTTACTTTTTTTTTAAACCATAACTGTGAGAAGCTAATGAATATGGGAAGGGTTTTAGGCCTAGAGGAAAACATTTAGCATTAAAAAAGTCTTTCTGAAAAGAAATGACCTTTGCTAGATCATCCAAGCCTTGCCCGCTGACCCTGCTTGTCCCAATGGGAGCTTATCTTCCAGCTGGGGAAATGGCACATACATAGAAACACATGAAAATATGTAGGTACAGAAACTGTAAAACAGACAAACAAAAACCCCTTTTGTCACTAGCAGCTGAAGGGATCCAGAAATATTTCGTGTAAGACATGACTTTCATGTGGAATGACAACCCGAAGAAGAGATGCGGGCCAAGGACTTGATGCTGGAGTAAAGCATGTATTATTTATAGGACAGAACCTTGTCTTGCTGTAAACATGACACAGTATACTATCCATCCGGTAGGACAGAGCACCTCCTGGCTGCCCACTGCTGCCTCTTACACTCCTCATGCTGTAGTCCCTACCATTTTGTTATGTTGTGTAAAACACAGGTATTGAACAAAAAGCCAGGTAAGTGATGTCTGTATAAGAGAAAATTAATTATATGATATCATTCCGGTACATTTTGTTGTACATTTTCATGTTTAGGTTCTCCCACTGTTTAAAAACAATCTTATATGTACAGTCTCTGGGTAGAGTGCCCACATTAGAGCAAAGCACAGGTATCAGGAGAAAAAAAAAAGCAGAATGTTTGTGAATTGCAATTGTCAGAAATACCCTGGCAGGCCTTATTTGTGAAGAATAATTGCTTTTAGCATGTGGAAGTAGTTTTTCACATTTCTTTGTATAAAGTTTGTATTAAGCTTAAATTATCATTTTTGGGGGAAAAATGTGTTACTAGCAGAATTTTGAAGGAAACAGGATTCTGAGAGGTTGAGTTCATGCTGTGTGCTTCATGCTTCAATGCTGTGTGTGTGTGTTGCCCCAGGACCTGCTTTCCTGATCGGGGAGTCTTTGGAAAGAATCAACATTTCATGAGGGCTCCCACTATACTCACATCACTTCCTGCTCAACTCTCTGGAGCGCACCAGCTCACCAGCAACCTCGCCCCTTAAGAGGTTACCTCGCCATACTCCCTTCTGTCCGGCTCCCCTTTATGTTTTATCTTCCCAAATGAAAGTGTAAGTTCCTTTCTCACACTTAGCATAGTGCCTGGCAAAGAGTAATCATTTAATAAATGCTGTATTTGTCTTTATCTGAATGTATTAAAAAGCATTTTAAAAGTTAAATTTTTTTAATTATCAAGCATTTATGTTTTTCTTTCCCACCTCTCCCCCTGCTGAAAAAGAAATCAGGAAAGCCCTCATATCAAAGAAGCATAATCCAACAAAATAAATTCCCATTCGGGCAATGTTCAAAAATGTGCATCTTATTCTT